AAAACCCCCCCCCCCCCACACTCCCACCTCCACTCGCTCCATCCCTCCAATTTTGGGAGAAGTCAAAGCAAGGTCAACTTTGGGAGAAATGCTTTACTCTGTCACCGTCACTTAATGCCTCGTTCCCCCTTCTCTTTCCTCCTCTCATCTCTCCTCCGCTCCCCACAGTTCGCCTCAGGGGCTAACATCACTGCTCGCTACTGAAGCTTACTGACTCCCCATGAATTAAACATGGATAAACATATTCGCCAACTAACAGGCAGGCTGCTGTGAGGGGGTGGCTTCACAGAGGCAATCGGGGCAACCGCTTCATCTCATCACAGCTGCCTATCACATGTTTTGGGCGAGTTGGAAAGTTGCACAAGAGGTGTTTCAGTGAGGGTAGAAGTTCAAATAGTACTGGACTGGGCTAATAGTGAAACGGGGCGATATGCAGCAGCATTTACGCGTATAAGACGTACAGCGTCTGTATGTGTGCGCCTCACCTGTGAGAGAAGCTTGTTGTTGTCGTCCTCCAGGATCCGCACTTTAGTCTCCAGCTGCCTGATGTAGTTGGAGGAGGAATCTGGAGGAGAGAGGGAGAGAAGGGGGAAAGGAGAAGTGATTAGCATTTCAAAAGACCCAAAACGTAAAACAGGCAGGCACGGCCACTGGAGAAAAAGGACCACATACTGTAGAGCTTGAAAGGGTTGCTGTGCACTTCGACAGAGCCAGAAAACTCATTTTCCAAATGAGGGGTTTCACATCATGGTTAAAGTCCTTGACTTAAAATAATTATTTTGGAGAGGTCTGATATTTCTGCTTGTTGTACAAACTGCTTGTGATGAATTACTGGACCACATGTAAGCATCAACGGGTAAATGAGAGGCACAGAAGGCATGCAACTATTACTTTGATTAACAATGCATCTACCTGTCACTTTACAACTAATTCATTATTATTTTAATATAAAAGAATGTCAGAAAACAGTGTACAAGACTAAGAGTCTACAGCCATGCTAACGGTTCTGTTAGGCACAGCTAAATGCTAATCTCAGCATGCTTACACACTCAGTGACGATGCTTACATGCTGATGTTTAGCAGGCAAATTGTTTACCATGATCACCATCTGAGTTTAGTGTGTTAGCTGGGAATGTCATTAGTTATGCAAGTATTAAGTCATAAATCAACGTATTAGTCTAATAATAAATACAAATACAAATAAAGGTAACAAGTATCAGAGAGATCACTGTAGTAGGAATGCAATTGACAGATACTTTCATTATCAATCAATCTGTCGATTATCTTTACAATTAATTAATTATTTGAGCGTAAAAACAGGTTGGAGAAATGCTTGTTTTGACCAACCAATAGTCAAAAACTAAAAGATATTCCATTTACAACCCAACAACAGAGAAAAGCACATTATGTGAAGCTGAAAACAGCAAATATTTAACATGTATCCTTATGATTCCCTCCTGACAATTAATTTATCGTCTAGTACTTAGGGCCCTAAAGTGAAGCCTGTTGGCTTTTTAAGAAAACTGTTAACTACTGCTGGTATCATTCTGAAAATCCATCTGCCACGTATAGTACTTTGTACAATGCCTCATGGGCTTAAAAAAAAACTACTTGTAGCTTGATGTCAAGGGTCAAGCACTGAGCGTTCCCACCGAGATTAGCAGTGCTTGACCTAACTTTTGACCTCATACTTGACTGGGGCTATTTCCCACTTTGGCCCACATTCTCTGCGCCGCTCATTCACTGTGAAACAGACATCAATGTTATATTTGAGATTTGCTCCAAAGTTGTCTCTATACTGTATATATCTCACAAATGATGCAACTGTGGCCTAATTGCTCCACAGAGATTGTGTTGTTTAACTGATGCATTCTTCATCAATATGAATCTAAAAGTCTACCGAGTTCAAACCAGGGACAGGAGCCGTGTGAAGAGTGGAGGTGCAGTTTGACTCAGTAGGTGGCACAGAGCCTGTTATCTAAAAAGGCATGTTTAATTTACAGCGAGATCAAAGCCGAGGTACGCACAGGAACCGCACTCCGGCAACTAGTCGGGAGCAAACCGCTGCGCACACAGCTTTATTTGGTTTTGTTTTCTAAGTGGAAGTGCAGAGAGACAGAGAGTGGAGAGGGTGATGGGGACATTTAACAGAGCCGATGGGGAGGTTGCTGATCAAAATGCTGGGTTGAGTTAAGATGCAGATGAGAAGTCAATGCTGTAGGGTACTGCACACACACATAAACTCACAGCTTGTTGCATCAGTAAGGTAACTCCAACCTTATTTTATTTATTTATTTCTATAACTGACCCTAACATGTCTAACAAACCTGTGTGATTCATGTAACCCGGCTGATCAGCACTTTGCAACCAGGGGGCGCTATACATTCAAAACACTTGGTGGCAGCCTGGATTCCATAGATTTGCAATGACAGACACAGATAATAACTACTCCCATGTGTCACACATAGGTTACAATACCGTATGTTCATATATACTTAAGAGGATGTTATGGTCAGCTTTCATTCTGCTTGACTCACACTCTAAAGGGGTTTTTAAGACCTTGTGTCCAAAACATTTCAGATGCTTACACCGTGGGCTCTCTCAGGACCGAGCCTGTCCTCTCACTTCAGCATCAATCCAAATGCTCCATATAATTAATACACTTGACCAGCTGCATATAAATGTGTTGTGCACATGCACACAAGAAAGAAGGAGAAGGAATCAGGTAAAAGCAGGAGCAAAACAAGAAATTCCTTTTCCATACTCCATGTTAGAAAGCATGGCATGTACCAGTGCTAAACCAGAGCTACTAAAGATGTCTCTAGTTAGTTACCAAGTTACCAAAATTCACAAATTTACACAAAGTCTTAAATTTGACAAAATAAAAAATTCCAAAAAATGCCTAATTTGCTACAACCTCACAAATGTACAAATGTGTTTTTTTTCCCAAGACCTGAGAGTAAACAGGGGCGAAGCCCAGCAGGGCCTGCAGGTCTATCTTTGTCCAGCCCCATGGCTTTTTAGGAGGGCCAGTGCAGACAGCGCTGTCAGTTGGCTGGTTAGACGACGGCTGGACAGCTAGAGGAGGACGCTCCAGTGGCCAGAGCTGCTAATCCTCTCTTCCTGCCTTGTGACCCTCTAATCTGGATTCATCTGCTGGCCTGACCTGCGGCCAGATCTCAAGCCGATTAGGATGAAGGTTCCTCAGCCTTCAGTCATCCCCCGGCACACTCAAACAATAAAGAGAGAAGCCTCAGAAAGAGGGGCGAGGACAGAAAATTAATGTTCTTTGCTTCTTTTTTTTTTCTTTGTGGTGTATATGTTTAGATTACTTACAGAGATTTAGATCTTGCCATCAGTAATCCAATACACTTAAAAGTAATCTGAGTCCATCAGGCTTATTTTTATCTCCTTATACCTAATTAAACAAAAATCTAGATAAGCAATCAAAAATAAATATTGATATATAGCAGAGGCATCCTGTATTTGACTAGAGAAACCCAGAGATGGCCTACAGTGAGGAATCCCGCTGTCGCCAGCAGACTTTACATACCACAGCACCATCTCTCCCCTCCACTCCCCATCTCAGGCCTTTGATGTGTTATAGGGGGGGGTTATGTTAAATCTCAGAGCGCATCACTTCAGCATCACACCTCATGATAAAGTGGTCCAGCTTAAATATGTGTAGATCAGCCGTGGGAACATTCACAGGAACACACAACATGCACAAAACGTCCCGACACCTCCACACACACACACCTCCACACACACACACACCTCCAC